GGATCCGTTATTTCATTCATTGCATGAGCATGTCAATATAGTGAATGGAACAGAAGCGTAGATTTCCTTTACTTGACTACTCGATACGACAAGCCGTTTACATTCACGGTAGGGTTTAAGGAATCCTACCAGAAAATCTGACCGAAGAACTTACGATCATGCATCATAAAACTGGGTTACTCTGCGGTTTAAGATCTGTTAGCATCTAAGGTAATGAAAACAACAACAAGCTGACTACTCAAAAGATCAGCTATACCGACTGACACCCTATAAGATAAAAGATATTTTGCTTCTCATAAAAGATCTTATCAGAAAAACCATTCAATCTTATATATGAGAATTAACATTCAGACTTGCATAAAACAACATGCAAACACGCGGGAAAAAACATATCGCCTCAGAAGTGAAAAAAAATTCATCACCTTTCCGTAAAAATTGAGGTGCCTGTCGTATCAGAGATTCATTTAAATCCCACTGTTGGATTCCTGGACCAACCATAGACTTCTCTGCTTCATCTGCGCCTAAAAAAACATATAGATCTGACGTTAAATTGAAAAGTTGTCAATATTTTGAATTACATTGCGGCATATAGCCAGTGTCCATTGTCGTTTAGAGAGCGCAATGCTCAAGACGTAAAGCTAATTCGCCCGGTGCAGCCTTCCGCCTAAAAAACAATACCAATACATTACAGCAGCAAACCAACGGCTTGACTCAAGCATATCTGCATGATTTTATTATCCGAAACAACCTGGCTGAAGTCACATAATTTTCACGCAAAATTTCAAAGAATAATGGCAAAATAAAAAATAAGGTCATCGGTAAATATCCTGATCTCCATATCAAGAGATATTCTTTCTAACTTGTTATCCAGCCCAATGGAAGATAAATAGGACTCACGGTATGGACATAAGTAATATGTGAAGTAATAACAAACTGTCATATTCGAGCAAAACCCACCATACTTCCCCGGCTTTGTCGATGTGCCCTATGCTCCATACGTTTTAGCACTGTGCATACTCAATGTAATCAATAACACGCATAGGTGGGGATACACGATACTACGAAATCCATTAAATCGAACAGCGTACAAATAAACAGAACGCACGTATAAAGCTATAAAGTGAAACTCACGGTCAGGTCAACGATTGGTGCACATGCTAGTGATAAATAACCGCAAAGCTATCAATATAAGATTATCGTAAACTAGCAAAGTCGATCAGCAAAGTTTTGCTAAACGGCGGCATAGCTCGCAGAGTTACTCATAATTCTGAAGATTACTGTGCTCTTCCAAACTTATTTTTGAATAGGGCACGAAAAGATATGATGATCGCTCTATGTATGAGTTTCATATAATTGATAAATTAATAATAAACAGAAAATAGAAGATCGGAACAATGCATCGATTTGTTGCCCGCCTTAACGACTGGCAATAATTTTCACTTCTCGCTCCATTGCCCAAGACAACAGTTAAACATGACGAAGCAAACACTTCCCTATTTACTTATGCATTTCGACGCCACGCACCTCCATCAGAGCAATAATCTTTATTATTAAGACACATGGCCATTAAACAGAAAATTTTATACAGAATATTCATTCGATTTCGAAAGTTCTGACAGAATGTTCCTTATTAATAATTTAGAGATTTCACTTAAAGGCTTAAGAATCTTCACAACTCTGAAATAATCATTGTAATAGAAAGCCGAATAAAACTAATAGATCCATAACAGTATAAAGTAATAGGCGCACGAATAATATACGCCAGGTACAATTTTCATCGATTCAAGTAGCCCAAACTTATATACTACCCCAAATGCTAAAGCTGCAGCGATGATCAACTTTTAATCTTGTTTCGACTATTACTGTATTTACGAAAGACTTGATTCTTAAAGTAATTTCGATATATATATTTCGATATACTAAGGACAGCAGCATAAAATTAAAATCTAAATTTGAGTTACGCCACAACATTAAGCAACCACGTCAGTTTTAAACGAAAATCCTTCAATTTCTTACCGTTTAAGCAACTGTACAACTGTCAGTAAACTGCCGCCGTTTCTGTAGATTTTGAAAACAAGATCAGTAGGGACAAGCGATGGCAAGCCATTTCTGCAATTGCTGTAACAAACGAAACTTTTGAATGAGTAAATTCCGTGGCATCTCTGATATTGGATTACTTGATTATTTCTTAAACCACATCGTTGAATATCAATTAAGCAACTATAAATCTTTAATCTTGACACAAATGGTATCACTGCTTAAAGTAGTGTGCAAGCTGTATGCGATGAAAAAAATTCATTGTAGTATACCGAACATAAATTTGAGCATCAGAAACTTTCTAAAGAGGATTTTTAAATTATCCTGAAGCTAAATTAATCATTTTCAAACAAAAGCTTACTTTATTTATGTATATGCAGTTACGGAAAAGAAGTTTTGAGCGGAAGGAAGCACTAGTTTCATTCAAAATTTTGTAAACACCTTACTGAACTCAAAACATTCTTCCGTAAACGTTCGATTTATAGATAAAATAAATTAACGCGAACTGACTAACTGATGCTTAACCGCTGTCTAATCCAGAGGAATATCCACACGGACCCTGCATCTCAATGAGGTAAACTACCTGCAACAAAAATCAACTATTGTGCATTACTTAGCAAGACGATCATAATTTCAACCTTGTCCATGACTAATGTTTAAAGGTGCAAGGGATGCAGTTATGTCAAATGACATGATATATTGTAAGAAAAAGCACATCGAATAACAAATGAACCGTAGAGTTGTGAATTGTAGGGCCGATAATACAGCAACGGTAACGAATCTGAGATTATTCTGCACGTGTATGCCAGTCTACTAGACCTTTACTGGCTTACCTCGGTGTGGCTTGCAATAAGTTCATTTTATTTTTCCCAGCATATTTTGCTTGATTACTGCTGAACGACTTCATTGTTTGTATTGCTGTATCTGTTTTCATGGAACCTTAGGGTAGGCAACGTTTACGTTGTAATATATTATCGCATTGTATTATGGAGTTTTAAACCAGTTTCTCCGATATCAGTGTGATCACAGGTGCAATTGAAGCGCTACGCTACTCCAAACTCATTTTGTTATGATATAATCCTTTTTTAAGCTCAAGGCCCTTTAGCTTCTGTGTGGAATGGCACATTTTCTTAGCGCCATTTTATTCATGAACTATTGCATCATTTCATTCTGATTTTTTGGAGAGCGATTCTTTCCAGCAAAACAGTCCGGAAAATAGCCAATGATACCTTCAAGACTAAATTTTGCAGCGCATTGCTGCGGCCCTTTATTCTAAGTTCCATGGGGTGGATGCTTAAGTATGCCACGGATCCATGGCATTTGAGAACTAGCTGTGCAAGATGTTTCTCGCATCATTTGGTTCGATGCAGCTACCTAATGCTTATCAAGAACGATTTTTCACGAGCTAATGCTCCGTTTACGCTACCACATTACGTCATATGCTGTTCTTCTCTCGGTAGTGTGTTAGATATCGATTACCTCTGAAAGATCATATTTCACGTATCTTGTACTACTCCATGGCACGAAGTTGCCTAAGGCATTTGGGCAGACGATCGAGGTATGGGAGATGACATGGCATATTTCGCTTGCTGAATGTATTGTTTATAGGCAGAATTAGACATGAGTTACCATCGTTGTTTCACCATCGTCATCTGAGGCTAACAGAATTTAGACAACAGAGCAACTCATATCAATGAACATTTTCAGGGTGACATTGGACAAAGGTCATATTTGTCATCGCGAACACGTCTGTCTTAACTGGGGTTTTCTACGTTTTGTCCTATCCTTTAACGAATTTTGGGTCAATGTGCAACTCACATTCTGATTTGAATGCACTTCCACCGTCATTTTTGGAAGTTCTATCCAGCCAAGTAAAGCGCCGGCCTTTAGGTTCACCTGACAATTTTCAGAGACTTGTGATAGGCAGCAATCAACAATTAGTGACCTGATATGTACATCGAACCTTGACGATGCTGAGTGAAGTGCATTGCTAGAATCATAGATGAGCTTCAAAGCGGTTTAGGACGGCCCATTCTCCGAGATTGTAGATGTGCGCAAGGAGTACGGCTTCTTTCAAAATGGCGATTATCATGTTCGTGTATATTATAAACAGAATTTTTCAAATGTTTTGCAACTTCCCTTTATTGGCTGCTACGAGTCCTATTCGCCGGTTGGTGAAACAGTTCCTTCCTGCTAGATATCCCATATTATATGACCTACAGCTTGGCTGTGGTCGAAGTATTAATGAAGATGAAGATGATTTCAAAACTTACCACTAAGCCTGTCAGTTATACTTACCTCCTGTTGGTTGCTTCTTTGAAATAAACGGCATTCTATATGCGCCTGTTGTTGTAAGGTGTCGAAACCTTCTTCATGAAAATAGCTTAGAACCGATTGAGTGAATACGTTAAACACTGGGAGTTGGCTGTGATGCATTGCAGGGGAACGCTAGGGTGAGGTGCCTTATGCATGAGTAATTTAGTTCATCCTACTCATTTTGTTTCATGGAATGTGTCGGAAAGCATATATTTATTGATGAACGATTTTTTGTCACTCTACGTTTATTAATATCCCAAAAAATGAATTTGTTCAACTAAATATCTGAAAAATAAGCGGAGCGTTGCAGCGCTCAGCGGAATTGACAGGAAACTCTGTGATGTCAGACATGGCAGTTGCTTAAGTTCATTTAAAATGCGCAAGAGATGATTTAAAAGGCAAATTCAACTGGAGTATTTATGTTTTCCTTACACTGAGAGGAAGATAGCGTTTTTTAGGCTATTTTTCGCGACATACCAATGTGCAGAAAATATCCGTAGTTCTATCTCTTATCAGCAATATCGAAGCGAACTAGTGTTTCAATACATACAGTGCAACTGATAGTACGCTGTTAGCTCAAACCTGGCGATCTTTTTGTTTAAGAGATTTACTGTGTGAAACTGATATGAGAAAAAGTTCTCAAAGTAATGTATAACCGGAACGGATCTCCTAAAACATCGCGTCGGAAGCCAGGTAGCCGAGCCGTATCAAAGAAGGTTGTTGAAAGAGATGCCACTGTTTCCATGCCGGGAATCAAGTATGACCGTGCGAGTAGATTATTTGACTCGGCGTTCGCTTTGGAGTCGGAATTGGTTAATGACGTCGCCAGCGAGGAAGAAGACGAACTCGGGAAGGAAAGCGAAAAGCCGGTAGCCGTTGTTGTTGCCGATCCTCACATTTCGTCTAATGGCGAAGAAGTTGCTTCACTGGATGTTGGTTGTAGTAAACAACATATATTTTCTAGTCAGAATTCGTTGTTGCCGTCTTCGTCCGGGGCAGTCGATTCAGACGATAGATATTTTGATAAATTGGACAAATCTGCTAATAGAGCTCATCGGAATTCACGTACCAGAGCCACTTCAAAGAAGGCAGTTGGACACGATGTCAACGTTCCAACGGTGGATATTCCATTCGACCGTGCAAGTAAATTATTCGACGCGGCATTCGCTTTGGAGTCGAAAATGGACGGTGACTCCGGCAGCGATGAAGAAGAGGAACGTGGGCATGAGAGCGAAACGCCGGTGGCCACTGTTGTCGGAGATGGTTCCATTTCGTTTCATAGTGAAGAACCTGCTCCATCGGGTGTTGGTTATACTGAACAACAGATGTTGTTTTCTAGACAGACTTCGTTGTCACCGTCTTCTTCCTCAGCCGTCGATTCAGACGATAGGTACTCTCCAGAACTGGGCATCGACCCGCTGCCCATTAGCAGGAATGTGGCGACGAAAGATCAGGAGCAAACATTCAGTTCCCAGGGTTCCTTGACACTCGCCGTCCAACAATTCCAATTGGTTTCGCCGGCTTCTAATAACCGTTCTAACGCTTTGCCGGAATCATCGTCGTCTTCTAGCCCCAAACGACGGCAGAAAGGTGACAAGTGGAAGAAAAAGAAGTTTCGGGGCGATGAAGACGAATATGATGAGGATTCGCCCAACTCTGAGTCCAAGAGCGACGTGGAAAAGTGCGAGAAGAACATGGCATCGGGAAAAGTTAGTTTATTTTGTCTTTCATCGTTTGTTTGTTTTTGCCGGTCGTTTTGTTGAAATCCCTTAGAAATGTTTTGTCCTGCACGAAAAGATTATTTTTTGTACATGCCATAAAATATAACGTCTTGTATGCTTTGGTCTGTACCATGAAACGTGTACTTCATCAAAGGTCATTTAAGCACAATCTCGGGCATTTGTTGTACTTGAAGACTGAGTAATTTGTCTTTGCAATGGTGTTCATATTGAAAGCTGAAAATTGTATCAAGACGTGCACGTGCATGTTTATTTATATTCCTTGTACTTATAATTTGGTCTCTGTATTTTTAACACTCGTTTATTCAGGGTATGGCTTCGACGCGGGTTCCTGAAGAAGTTCAACAAAAGGAAAAGCTGCGCGAGGTATTTGTTTAAAAGTTTTTTTGAGACATTGCTCGTAGTTGCATAAAATTTTTGTGCCCGTTGATTTTGTTTGTTCGTGCATTTTTTATTGTTCAGGCAGGGTTTTCGATGTTCTGCCATGAAAATGAAAATAATATCGTATGATATATTTTGAAATTTCATTTATCTTAAAGTGAGAAAAATAACAAAATTCCATTTTGATGTTGCTGTAGCTCCAAATCGGCAGAAAACCAACATTTCGTTGGGAGAGCAATGTTTACGATATGCTCAGTTAATTTTCATTTAGTCAGTTTGCTTTTCGTGCTCAGATGACTGTTGTAGCCAACTGGTCGTTTTAACGTTTCTATCCCCTTTCATCTGTGAATGCAGTCTTTTAATAATTTTATAAGTGTATAGTTGTACTACAACGGGATTCCTCCGAGGTTGCGTCCTCCGTTGAATTTGGTTGCGTCCTCTGAAAGGAGCCAATTTTCCGCAGTATTTAAACACCTGCGATGTAGAGCTGCACTCGCGTCATTTTATGGCTAGAACTGCACCTCGCTTGTCAGCAGCTGGTAGTCTTGTTCTTTCGCTAAACAGGCAGAAATGTGGGTTCGTACGGCAGGGAGTCATGGTCTTCCTCCCCTTGCGGAAACAGCAAGGAGCGATAGAACGATGCAGTACGGAAATATTCAGCATGGGAATATCCTTAAGGTTATTAAAATGTTCCAACGTACGAATATATTACTTTTGGCTCTGTCATTCAATGAGTTATGCATTGCCCTGTTCGAGATATGGCATAGTAGTTAATAAACGTATTAATGAATTCTCTGACATCATTAACAGTGACACTTTTTTGTCTGTTTCTTTGCTACGAAGACTTCGCAAGACCATAACTGCGCTGTTCTCCCCTAAGGTTTCTTGAGATTAGTTAGTTTTGATGACTGCCCATCCTTCTAGGTCCCGCATGGAACAGCGTCTGTAACATTCTCTATTCTCTGCCATCGTATGAGCATCAGTAGAATCGAAACCGAACCTGGAGTTAAGTCCATTGAGGCACTTATCTCAAGTCTTCTTTGTACGTTCCCCGTAATCTTTGGCAGGTCAGTTGAATAAGTACAAGCTATTTGACCTTTCTTATAGCATTCGTAAAACGCTTCAAAGCCACTTGACTGTGAAACAGTTGTTGGATCGAGAGGTTTTCTCGCATATCTGAATTCTGTCAACACCTGTCATCCCATCGATGCGTCTAAGGCAGCTAATTTTAGCCGTTTTTATAAGAGATCGCAGGATTTCTGTTATGACAATAATTTCATGGCCCTTGGAAGGCTTGTGGATGAAGATCGACTTGAACACAGAGAAATTGCCTTCAGACTCAGATCTGTTTTGTCACAGCGGTTCGCCGCTATCCATTCCTATTCGCTGGTCGATCCCTCCCTCCCATTTTCTATCCCCAGTAAACGCGACCCCGGGGTACATGAACTTCGTATGTTCCATTGCTTCGCCGTTTTTTTGCAGATCCCGTCGGACAGAAGAACGAGAAAGCACTAGATTTTTTTGCACGTTCTCACGCATACCGGTCACCTAAAATTCGATTGCGAATGTTGCCAGAGAGCGCTATTGATCCGTTTCAGAAAATGCCAACAAAACAAGGATGTCTGCAAAAAGCAACCTTCTTGTCTCGGCATCTCTGATATTCTCATCACCCTGGCTGGGCTTGAATATTCTGTCTATGTAGAACATGAACAGGAAAGTTGATAAAACGAACCCTTCATGGGGACCATTACCAACGCCGAAAGATCTAGATTTAATGAGATTTGCTCTGACGCAGCATCTCCTCTCAAGATATAGTGACTGGCCATCGATTCTGTACGTCTGTGGGCACGTCACAGTTGGTTGCGCGGAATACTGTCGTAGCCTTTCTCCAGTTACACAAAAAATGTAAAGTAGATGAGCGAACTGCCACAATTTCTCAAAGTCTGGTGTACGGCAAAAATCTGGTCAGATGTGCTCCAGACTGACCGGTACCCACAGTAGTATCTTTTTGGATCTTGGAATCAGCTATTCAGCGACATCCCCTCCTCTCATTTCCTTTGCATGGAATTTTCCTGTATGTTTGACATAATGATTCGATAATTAGAACACTCCCTATGCTCTACCTTCTTGAACAGTGTAGTACCACCCTAGTTGTCCTGTTCGCTGGCATCTTCCCGCAATCATTGCAGTGTTCGGCACGTGTCAACACTGCAACATGCCCTATTCGCCTAATGCTATAGGCATCTCAAGGCGGTTTTAATCGACTTAAAGCAGCCTTGTCACTTTTAAAGGTTTTCAAATTTCTTCGACTTCATATGCTGCGAGAATAATATCGATTATCTGATGTGTTTGGGCGAATGTCCGTATGGTTGCATCCGGAGTATGATCAGAATTACAGTATTGGAAGTGACGCAAGGTACTGTGAAAATCGGTTGTTGTACATTTAGGTGACGATATCCTTGAAAGAAATAATGGAATTAACAATACTGTCACTCAGATGTGGAAACTTTTTCAACACTGAGGTGTGTCATGCCACATATTTATGCAGTAAACTTGATGATGGTATGAGGCGTAGAAACGCAAAAACGAATAGAGTATTCTACGTAGTCCTTGTGGACTTCTTGGTTTGAAAGAGTCGATCAGAAAAGGAAGGGATATAACTGGGCTTTGAATGTTGTTCATTATATAATTGAATTTATAATTGGCTTACGGTATTAGCTGTACACTGATCCATCCTTTGCATTCCATATGCGTAGAATTGGCAACGATCAGAATAAAAGGAGGCAAACTGATTGTAGATCTGACAAAATAATTTCCTTGCGACGGTCGACTAATTGTTATTGCTTCATTGACTGATCTCTATATGATTTTCAGGTAAATCTGTTGAATGGAATGGTTGTCTGACTAAAACCTGGACTATATATACATATATGCCTGCATAAGTAAAACATTTTTTGCGGATGCCTTAAACTGCAGCGGTGCTAGCGCTGCACCGGTAACTTCATAAAAGAGGAGCACAACAAAATGGGACCGTCTATGATGAAAGTGTCAAAGAAGATCGGCGTCAGTCGCCTGCAAGGTTTCTTTTATTAGGTAAATCAGAAGTGATCTCATACTGGTAGTCGAAGATATAGCTGTTTGTTTAATGCGTTGCAAACTACATGCTATACTTCTGCGTGTGAATGTTGCAAATACTTTTGTTTTCTTTGTCGAACAGGGGATGAGGGAGTTGACTCCGTGTCGGTTGCCGTTTCCGCAGTAGATAATGAATCGGTTGAGGTCATTCCCATGTGGAAAATCTTTCGACTATCGCCAGAAGCCAGAAGTTAGAACCATACCAGAGGTTGGTCACGTTGCACATTTCGCCGCAAGCCTCGAGTCATTGCTTTTGATACCGTGGGTCAGAAATTTGAAATCAATAAAAGTGAAAACGTTTGTTCTGATTCAGTAGGCTGTGTTCCGATTCCTATGCATGAGAAGATGCTTAATCTGTAGCAAAATTGTCATTGTATTTAGTTGGTTTGCTTAACTTATCACAGAATAATTTTGACATTATAAATTGTGTTCTGACACGTTTAAAGCGCTAAGAAGAATAACAGGACCGATTTGAACGGCTTCCATATCGTGAGTGTTTTAATTTTTCTTTCGCACTGTTGCGGAAATTAATTTCGGTATTTTTAAGAGAATTTTAAAGGAGTTCTGTGTTTATTTTTATAATTGCTTAATTTGGACGCTCTCCTGACATTGAAGCTGCTACGTACTGGTTTTATATTATTTACGTAAATATGCTGTTGAACCATTTTTACGGTTCTCGCTTTCTTCGCGTCCACATTATTTGTAATATACACTTTTACATGTAATATTCTTTTATATACTTTTGACTTTGAACTTCTAGGCATGCGTCAGTGAAGTCTGCACACCCAAAGATTCTGTCCCAACCAATCCCTCTCAACTTCCTCAGATAAGCGAGATTGCTTCAGGAGATGGAGATGCTAAAAATATTCCACATGTGGAAGTTGGTCGAACAGGCAGTTCAGTACATTTGCACATGACAAGAGCTAACGGCAAGGTCATGTGTCGAAAAAGCGAAAAACGGGTATGAAAGTCATGTATCGATTGATTTTAGATAAACTGCAGTGCCATTGAAAAATAATTTAGCAAAAGTGTGAGATATTTCTAAACCATGTTTTCGACTCCATAAGGCGAAGCCAAAATTTTTACTCTCATGACATCGTTATTCTTACTTATACTCGTTAGTGTGATGGACTTTTGTATGCACATTGAATGGCGAAGGTTAAGTAAGTTGATTAAAGTGAAGAGTTCAGATCTTTTCGTCTCATTCATCTGCTTTTATGGAACGATACTGATTCTTACTGATAAGCCAGCGAAGACAGCAGATTAAACCATAAGTCTGATTGGAATAGGATTTTTTTAACGATAGGGTCTATAGCAAATCCAGCGAAATGCGTAGATAAATATATTATTTATTGAGTATGATCGTATAGCTGTAACTTTTGAAAACTTTCGGTATCCCGTGCTTTCTTTTTGAACTTCTAATTCGAGATTTTATGAAGGGGACCTCCGTTGTTTAAATTAATTTTTGATGGTTACATTCTACTGTTCATTTTATGTTTCTGTGTATGTTTGGTTTCTTTAGTATTTTACAGTCATTCACAATGTCCAGCAAGCATATCAATGTCGCCAAAGCGGTGAAACACAAGAATTTGCAGATGACGTTGAATACCTTCTGGAAACGATGAGCGATGCTAGTGTCACGGTCAAGTGTTTAAGGTATATGGTGTATGGGTACTTGCCTTTTTAACGTATTATTTAAAACAAATCTCATATTAGTGTGATATTTATGTACAGAGTGATGCATCGGATCCTCTTGCAAGGTTAGTTGTCGAGTATGACGGTTAAGTTGCTTGGAGATTTTCAAGTCATTCGATTTCAAATCTAGTGATTTGAAATCTGAAGATTATTATAGGTTTCCCTAGGATATCCGTTTTAAACTAAGGTGTTCCATTGGCAGACGTCACATCGACTACATTTAACACATTTAACAGACATCACAACGATATTACATATCAGAGTACACAGCATGGCGCCATCATGTCAGAAGGGCCATTATGTTAGTATTGTCGCGTTTACTTTTTTTTCATGACCTGTTTGCTTTGCTTCATTACTTCAAGGTTTGTGACAAGCTTCATGACTACCGTAGTAATTTTACATGACCGAGTACAATGTACTACATTCTGCCAGCTGTTTCGCATTCCACAGCTCATTTTAGTGCGGTTGCCCCGACTAAAGGATAGAATTCAGGGAACCAAGCAAGCAACAAGGACTGATTTTATTGATCATCCTCTATACTGTGCCCTGAAATTATACCACGTGATATAATGCACCATTTTTTTTCTCGGAAATTGATACTGTTGATAATATCACCGAGGTATTAACAAGGCATGTAAGATGTTCTCATGACGTTGACGAATTGGATCATGCTGTGTCATTCTTCAGAACAGTTTTTTTTGCTTGAGTTGAATAAATGAAGCATCGTCCAGAAAGAGCAGCGTTGGGAGAAATTTTATTTGTAATCTACTCATTTATGACATTTCCAACGATATCATGAAAGGCTATTGTGGTTTGAAATTCTACCTGCAGTCAACTTCTTTAAATCTGAAAGCTTAGTCTTTGAAATTGTTAAAACGATCTCCATTTTTCAGCATTATCAAAGCGCAGTAAGTAAACAGCATCGAATCAGTGGGTAGCAAATATGATAACGTACACAGCAACTGGAGCAAACTGGAAAGATATCCGGGAGTAGATCGCAAACAGCCGGGTCAGCATTTAAAACAGTACAGCACTGTTACATTGAGCATAACCAAGTAGCGCTGACGGACAGCGTCGGGATCTCTGAGGGTACGCGCTGAAGTTTTGACAATGGATCTGCTGAACAGTTTGATTCGGGAACATATACTTAAGTAAGGTAAGCTGCTGGATGCACTTTGTGAGTGATACTGGGCAACGATGTCGTGCAGTGGGTGGGTTGGTTTTTCCAGGCCCTTCGTAGCATTTGTACACTTTGAATGGCGAAAGACTTGGCTACTGATATTGCAAAATCTCTGTATGACTTTCCACTTAAAGTGTAATCTAAACGTAGTGAGGTCCTGGTGTTACTGAAATTACATACTTGCAACCTGCGGAATACCGGAGCAGCAGCGTTCGTATAGAGAGAAATAATATACGCGAGGACGAAGCTCTTAACTGCGTGTCTCGATGCCTAAGGTTCCCTCAGTCTCGACGTAAAAGCAAGCCTTGCACCAGCGTTTTACTACTGACTGGACATGCTCATACCAGATGAAGTCAGATGGACGAATCACACTCAGTTGTTGTTATGCTGTACCTGGGACATTGGCTGACTAGCACTGTTCAGCATCTCACTGGTGAACTGAAGAAGCGCCTTCTTTTCTGTTCCTCGAATCATACGTACTGACTCCTTTGTCTTCACCGGATTTTGATGAGATTGTTCGAGGAGTCCAAATGACAGATTGTGAAGACGTCATTCTTGTAATTATTCCAATCCTTGGTCTACTTCGGGCACCCAAGGAGACTGTATTTCAGCATATTTGATACCTGTCAGGAGCATCAACAATGATGCCATAGATTGCATTCAAATATATTGAATAACAGGGGTGACAGAATCGACCCTTGGATTACACCCAAGCAGTTTATCAGGACCTCTGATTTCTGGGACAAAACTTCACTGATGACGATGAGACAGATAGTTTTCAAGCTTCCGAAGGGTTGACCGTTCCACGGAAGTTGCTCAGAGTTTCAGCAGCAGGCCGTTACGCCGAAATATGGATGGCATTGAAAACGAATGACATATCGACGAATGGTTCCCGTGCAATTCTTCCGCTGTTTTCAGTTTACTGACGATTTCATTCGTAGCGCAAGCAAGGGCATCGTTGGTTCCTAACCCTTATTGTTGGAGAACAGTCTTTGATCAGTCATATCCTTGTGGTTAAGCTAGAGGTAGCAAAACTAAGCTCTCTAAGCATTTAGGGTCAGCGGAAGTTACGGCGATGGGTCAGAAGCAATTGCGATTGCAGTTAATGACCTCTTCTTTGGCTGCTGTACGCCATTGCCAATGCATTGCGCAAATAACAGTCATGGAAGCTGTAAAACATGGTTCATCTCAGACGAACAAAATGAATATGCGCGAGCTGATTACATTTGGACTGGGAGATACATCCCATCGTAGACGCTCGAGGGAGGATTGCACCTCCTATGATAAACTGAACTGCATCAAACTCAGTTTGCCGGCTGAACACGGAAGTCACCCGAGATCCTCTTGTTACTTTCTCTTAGTTGTTTCCATAAAATCTATTTTCTCGTTGCGGGAACAGAGCATAGTTACAAACATGTAGCATTCACGAAACGAGGTTGCATAGTAGTCATCCAAAGAACTGACGGAGGGGTATGTAATTATTAGTCATCTCGCACTATCGCGCTTAGAAATCTGGTCATCCTTAGAATGTCTGAGGTTCTGGACCTGACCAAACCAGTACGCACTAAATTAAATAATTGGTTATAAAAATAGATGAGTTTGGCGTGTTGTATGATATTGTGGTTGTCGCTAACTGTCAGTGACTTGAAAGCGACGTTGGATTTATGAGGAATAGGACGAATAGAATGATCGAACCGAAGCTGAGAGTGAAACATGCCAGCCATGGATTTGCACTGACAAATGAAGTGACTAATTGAGGTTGGTTAAGCATTGTTACAGGTTATCCGTATTTACAAGTAATTGCTGCGCCGTTTTATTTAGAGGCGTGGACGTCGTTTAGGGCCAGCATGGTGTAGCACATCATCTGCAGCGTAAACGGAAAACCGAATCCCTTCTGAGGTCAAAAACTTTCTCTTTATTAACAAACCAAAAGTGCTGCCTGGCAATGCTTGAACGTCTAGCTACCGTCGTTGTTGAAATCAGATTATTCCATTCAGCGCTAAAGAAAACTAGCATTTTGTTAATAATGTATAAACAACAAAGAATTATTACTAATTGATCTTAAATCTTTCATCTTTTACGTTTTAGACCTGTATTTAGTTAACTATTTAACTATTTTTAAGCATTTTGTTCTGCCTCACGTTTCTCATTTGCTGCTTCGTAAGAGTCAAGTATATTGGTTTGCGTGTTTATTATTTTTTGTGTAACTTTGAAACTTCTAGTACGTTGTCGCTGCTCAACAAATGCGTATCCAGTCCGTTTCGTACGTATTTAAAAGCCCATGACCATGTGAATCGGTTTCTGCAGATTCTTAAAGACTCGTCCACAGACAAGGTACTTCAAACGAGCCAGTGATCGTCCGTGCTTTACTGCACATTTAGTCCCTGGCATTGTGTACGGCAGCTTTCGTATACATGCTGGCACGTGATCGCCTGAGTATCGGCATCAATTCACAAAGTTTGTCGGTTATCGTTGAGCTGCTGAATTTTCCGAACGACGCACTGCACGACGACAGTGACTGCTACGGAGATTATGGCATTCATCGAAACGGGGTTTGGCAGGCGTTGTGCAGCTGGTTGAAGGAGGTGCAGCGACACATGGGCGAAAACCAGAGGATGATGTTCGATTTCACGGAGGAAAACCTATCGGTAAGCGAGTCGGATTCGATTTTTCGTTGTTAATGTATGCTGTGAACGGTTGATACATTTCAAGCTCAAACGCATTTGCTATTTTACAGTGAGTCTAAATTTCTTTTTGCATTTTTGTACAACAGCTGCAAAGTTGAATATAAATTAAGTCAGTTTAATTTTTGTTCTTGATGTACTTTTCCTAAAACTATCTTTTGCTTCACTTCCATGTACTTATACAGCATTTTTACACCGTCCTCTTCCTTCTAGTAAAGTAGTTGACCGTTTAAGCAGGCTGCGACTGCATGGCATTTTAGCACCTTCAGTGTATAAGAGCCAAACAACGCCATTTTGTTGATGGATCGAACAGAAACACGTTCGAACACAAAAGAATATGCCTCTATGTGTATGCGTATATTTATTGACATAAATAACAATAAGATGTCCATATGACGCTGTTGCAGATAGACCAATCAGGCGTTGAAGCATAAAAATAATAAATTTAGAATGTTTCAGAAACAAGCTAGTTGTCGCGTAGATCTGCTTCATGGAACAGTATACCCATAGGTGCCCTGGTATTATCCCAGTAAGGTCATAATAGTTTACTTTGCGCTTTTGAGGTGCTGGGTTCAAACCTCGCGCGCGGCTTCCTCTTATTAACTGTGATTGCGTTGAGCAATTAATTCACCTCAGTGTGTTTCGATGCAACCAGCTGAACAACGCGTAGTAGGTCGATTATCTGCGATTAATGGGAAGTTAATGATGTTTTGCACTGGTCATGTTGGACAGCGAGACCTACTGCTTTGTTGCCTGACGCACGGGCCTTGCGGTGGCAGTTCTCCTCTGCCCATCTGGTAACTGAACTAAAAATCATTAAACTGTGAAATTTAATTAAATTTACTTTTAATTAATG